TATAGACTCACAGTATATAACAGATGACTCCTATACTCCACATGTCGGTGGGATAACTGATGGCTTCATAATTGATCACCTCTGGAGCCACAAACTCTGGAGTCCCGAACAAAACCTTCAGAGTTCCTGCACTTTCTGTTGAAGGAGAGAGAGAAAGGATTAATCGATACATTGATTATCTATCAATATCACTGACGGCACAGAGGCTCATGTTAACACACAGTTAGCTCGTTAGCTTCACCTAGTCGCCTGGCGAGGCCGAAGTCGATGAGTTTGATTTTGCTGCCGGTCTTGTTGACACACATGATGTTCTCAGGTTTAAGGTCCAGGTGGACGATGCCCTGTTTGTGGATGAAGTTGACTCCGTCGATGATCTGCAGCATGTATTTGATCACTTCTCTTTCCGTCAGCTCAAAGTCCTCGTCGATGATCCGCTCAAACAGCTCGCCACCTGAGATCCTACAAAGCAAACACACCTGGTTGCTACGACAACTCGCTATTAGCTCCAAACATGAAAGTGAGGGTCCCTCTGAAAGCTTTTTTCAGCTGTTGATCAAGCCTTCTGTACTGAGATATGCTACGTGCTAAGCTAATCTATGATGACAGAACCAGTGAAGGCAGCAAGTACCAGCCAATCAGAGGCAGAGTAGAGCGGGTCATGACTTCGCCATCCTGGGAAAGTAGAAAACTGAGGAAGGGTGAATTAAGATATCAGCTTACTGGAAGTTTATATATTTATTTTATTGAACTTTGTGTTTGTAGCTCAGGTTCTGATTGATAAACGTACCAGAATCAGATCTTTGTCCCTAAAAAGGGAGACTTTTATACTACTATTATATCCTATTATTGTAATATTATTATAAATCCAGGCGACGGTGGATCAGCAGGTTGGACTATAATCACAGGTTTGGTGGAAAAAAAACATTCAAATCAAAACAAGAGCTGCAAAAGTCTCAGTAATTAAGATATAATCAGATGTAATATAATATAATGTAATCAGACCTGGGAGGAACGTTGGGAAACTACCAAAATGAGAGTCTGAATGTAAACAACTTCCTTCCTGTTCTCTGTCAGTGTGGATGTTTATCAGTTCCTCCCCGTTTATCTGCTAACATTAAGATCATTAAACAAAAGAGTTCCAGACAATAAAGACAGAATGTTTCTGCAGGATAAGCAGCTCTTATATAACTGAGTGTGTTTGTGCCGTCTGTCCATCTCTCCCGTTAGCTCTAAAATTAGCCAGCAGGAAATAGCTGCTCTCAGATTCCTCTCATAGTTGGCCAGAAAGTTATTTTCCAGCGTTCTCCAAAGCAAAAACATCTCGTCTCTGTTTCCAGATCGGAGTCCGACTGCTCCGAGATCAGCTGCAGGTTTATGTTCCTCCGATCAGTCGACAACCCGTCAATCAGAACTTTACCGTGTTAATCAGAGAGCTTTAGCTGGTGGTTAGCTTTGACAGAGCCAGGCTAGCTGCTCCTACCTGTTTCCAGTCTTTATGCTAAGCTAACAAGCTCCTGGCTATAATTTCATATTGGTTCCTGCTTTGGGATTCTAGCAGCTGATTTCACACAACTCATCTGTTTATTATTTATTATTCAGGAGAGAGAGACATAGTTAGGAACTGCATAAGTCGAATTTATGAGAGAGAGTAAATGTTCCAGATGGTGGAACGGGAAGTTAGGATGATATTAATCAATCCCATTATAAAGAAGCTGTTGGCCTCGCTGTATACGCTGACTCACAGTTACGTTAATAAAGTTAGTGTCCATTTCAGGAGAATCTCAACGTGTTTACTGACATTTAAATAAAGAACAAACTGCCCTGCAGATAATGTGTGGAGCAGTATATAGCGGCTACCTTACAGAGTGTTTACACTCTTTAAACTGTGATCAATTGTTTACTGGATGTTTTCTAACTTTAAACTAGTCGACTAATCTAAAGTTAAATTTCCGTTTAATCAACAGCGAAATTAGTCATCAGGAACATCTGTAGTTGTGACTGTTAACATGTAAGCTGTTAGCTCTCCAGCTACAGTCGTTCACCAACGAGCCAAACACCGAACTTCTAGAGCCAAATATTGATTATATTCTATATATAGATCAGATATTAGCTGTGAGATTCGTTGGTTACGTACATCTCGAGCACCATGACGATGTCAGACTTGCCCTCGAAGGCGTCGATACACTGGACCAGTTTGGGATGATGGAGGCTGTTCATGATGCCGATCTCCTGCCGGACGTTCTCCTTCTCCTTCGCCGAGTACGCCTTGATGAACTTCCCCGCCCAAACCTTCCTCGTGGCCTTCTCCACCAGTTTGAAGACCTGACCGAACTTCCCCCTGTCACACAAACACACCTTAATGACACTGACAACGCCTGCAGATTCATAATAACAACAACAACAACAACAATAATAATCATACTGACTATCTGTCTTTATTTTCTTTGTGCTCTCTAAATAAGAAGTTGAGGCAAATAGTTTAAGCTTTAGCTGCTACCAGCTGATTCAGCTCTAGAAGGAGAGGTGCATTGTGGGTGAGGTGTGAGTGGGAGGAGCCTTACGTTCCCAGCCTCTCCTCCACGTCGTACAGGTCCTTCACCTTCATGTCCGTCCTGACGCTCACGTCTCTGTAGTCCGGCTCTTTCTCTGAGTCTGACACAGAAACACAGAGGTCAGAGGTCTATTATTATTATATATAATAATATATATATTACAATATTACATCGTATTATGTTACGTCGTGTTTAGTCATGTTATGCTTTGTTATGAAACGTTGTGTTATGTAATGAGATGTTGTGTTATCATTGTACCTTCGTCCTCCTCCTCTGCCTCGGCCTCATCCAGGTTCTCTGTCAGACAAACAGTTAGTCAGTTAGTTACTGCTCTGCTTCATTAGTCCTGGTTTAGTGGATGGATTTAGGAATGGAACACACCCCGATTACTCGTCTTCAGAAAGCCTTTGATAGAGCTGTTAGTCTGATAGAGCGTTATTGTGAGTGAAACCATTTCTGATTGGCTGATCAGTTGAGGGATGATTTAATAGATGCGATTCAGCCTCCATAGACCTCCATTATAACAGACGTCTGATAACAGGACATGTCCAACTGCAAACAACTCAGTTACTCTAAATAAAAAAAGGAATTTTACTCCATGAAGGTTTTATATTTGTAAAAGAGCCTAAAACAGCCAGTGGGAGACGACTGGGCATCTGCTGCTAACATTAGCTCCGCCTGATGGTGGTGAAGACTACAACTTCCTCTTCTCCTATTGTTTGGATGTGAGGCCCCCTAGTGGCAGAAATCACACACTGCAGTTTTATTTCACTCACCATCGTCCACCAGTCCGACAGTAACGGGTTCAGATTCAGCACTCGGCTCTCCGACCCCGTAGATGTTCTCCGCCCGGACCCGAAACTTATACTGGCGCTCCGGCAGAAGGTTCTACAGACGAGACAGAACTTCAGCTGTTCATCTGAAGACAGGAGACCTGAATGTGTCCGTCTGTACGTCAGAGACTCACCTGTACGTTGTAGGAGGTGCTGTTGCAGGACACCAGGTGTTTCCACTGCGGGTCCAAAGAGTCCCAGATCTCCAGGTTGTAGGACTGCACAGCACTGCCTCCGTCGTAGGTCGGCCCGTACCATGACAGAGTCAGACTGGCCCGCCGGATATCTGAGGCTGCAGGGACCCTCGCTGGGGGGTCGGGTTTATCTGAGGAGGGAGGGACATTCAGGTCAACAGGGAACTGATCTACAACAGAAAGTCTACAGGTTCATCCTCCAGGTGCTCCAGGTGCTCCAGGAGCTCCAGGTGTGTCTTACCGACGATGGTGAGGTTGAGGGCGGCCTGTCGGAGGCCGAAGCTGTTCCTCAGCTCGATGGTGTAACAGCCGCAGTGTTCCTGCTGACCGCTGGAGATGGTAAGTTTACTGCTGCTGTCAGAGCTCTCTATGGAGATATCAGCGGAGCCCTCCTGGATCTGACACACACACACACACACACACGGTAAACAGGAAGTGTCAAACATATTGATGAATAAATGAATTAAATATATAAACAAACATTAAATAACTATTACATATTTCTGATGTCTTTTATTGTCATGATTAGATATATAACTCATATTTTCTCACTGAGCTTCCGTAGAAACTGACACTGAGTTTTAGAGTTGGGACGATGTGTCTGCCATCTTTATGTGATTGAGATCAAAGAATGTAATCAATAGATTCTACATGAACTCAAACTATGGAGCCGTTAAACTATTGATCAATAGTTTATCTATTATCAATAGTTTATCTGTGTGATCAGATACTGAGACTGTCAGACATTAATCTGTATGTCTGCACACAGATACACTCCGCTCACATTGATCAATAGTTTCACTCCATATCAAACTGATCAGCTCCCAGCATGCACTGCAGCATGTGTGTGTGTGTGTGCCTCACTGGTTTCCTGAACTTCAGCCAGGTGCAGTTGATGGGCGGAGCTCCAGAGAACTTGCAGAGGATCTCGACCTTCTCTCCTGCCAGGATCTTCATGTCCTCTGGGAACTGCAGGATCTGAGGAGGCAGAGCTGCACACACACCAACGATCAGCGATCAATAACCAATAACCAAAAATCACTGTGCTGTAATGAGGGTGTGTGCGCGTCACCTTGTTTGGGAGGAGTCTTGGCAGTCGGTTTCTTTATTCTGGCTTCACCTGAAACACAAACACAACAGAGGGAATCAAACCTGTGAACTCTTTTAACAAACTCCTCGTAGGAAACTGATCAGATCCACTTCTGAACCCGAATCTATAGCTACAGTCAGCAGCTGGTTAGCCTAGCTTAGCATAAAGACTGTAAACAGGGGAGCAGCTAGGCTTGTTTGCCGTGGTGATTTCAGAAAATGCTGAAGATCATGTGAAGATGGGGAGTAAAAGCTCCAGAACAGCCACTAAATGGACCTTCAGGTGAGATTATTAATATTCACACAAAGAAACAATCAATGAACTGAATCTGTGTTTTCTATGTTTAAAAAGAGGAAACAGTGTGTAAATATATAAAAGTGTTTTACGAGACATTTTACAGTCTCGACTGTTCGTGTGGGAAGAATGTTTCTGGAGCAAACAGGAAGTCTTCCTCACGGCTCAGAAGAAGAAGAAGAAGAATGTGAGTGTCTCTGACGACCATATATGGTCATTCTAAAAATAGTTCCTGAGGATGCAGGAAACCGGTTCTGTTCATCCTGACGAGAACCAGAATCTGCACATTTCCTCGAGTGCATGTGAGAGACGTACTGTACTGATAACGTTTGTGATCCACTGAGAATCAACAAATACTGATCATTAATAATCAATTAAAGTGTCTGTTTATCATTATAGGGGATATACACCAGGGGGCGCCGTCTACAACATACCATAATACTTAAACCAGCAGTAATTATGTAATAAAACTTTCAGTTATATTTGTTCAGAATAAAGGAGATACTTAAATTAAAGCCCC